CAAGAGCTTGATACCATTCTTCAGGAATGCTCACATATCGTACGCCGATTTGATGAAGAGATCGAGCGTGGTACTCTTCCGGCAGAGGAGAACACTTCTCTCGTTGGCGCGTACCTGATCAAACTGTCAAATGCATACTGGTCCCTATATTCACAACTGCGAAGAGCGCGGTGCAATTCCGAAGCCCTTGTTGTAGCCATGCAGCGCTCGATTGATCTTTTGCAATCCCGGTCGCCATCCGAGCGAGAAAGCGGGCTTCTTTCAATGAAATTAGAGCACCTGGGCGAAGCATTGCAGGATCTGAACCACATCGATCGTTCTCGCATCGCCTTCCAAGAGTGTATGCGAAATCACCTTACCGTCGAGGCGTTGCAGCAACTTTCGAAGGAGACATCTACAGCATCCCTGCACAAGGTTTTCAGCACTGATGGATCTTTCGACGCTCTCGTCCGGGTGTTGAAAACGCTCCATCACTCATTCATTCGATTTGGACCCCAAGAACCAGATGAGCTAGCCTTCTACGATCAGGAAGATTTGGAACCTGGAACGAGAGGAGCCATCTTGGAGTTACAGCTTGGTCTCTATCTGCGAACGTTGTCCAAGAATCGACAGTGGGACTCCAACCTCAACAAATCGATATGTATCCTTGTCGAACGACTGCAACAGCTTTACATACCAGGAACCTTTCCGATCCGACATCTGAGGCTCTCTGTCACACTTCTTCAACTTTCTCAACAGGACCCGCAGATCTTGCCCCAGCACCTGACTACACTTGATGCCACAGACGACGACAGCGTGCGGACAGCAAGTAGTGAAGACGTAGGACTCAAGCACTATGAAGCCCATCTAAAAGCGCATCGTGATCTCAAGACCTTGATGCAGCAGGCTTCTCCTCCCACAGAAACCTTCAAGCAGTGCTTTGCGGCGTGGGAGTCTCTCGTCAGCTCTACGTCCTCATGGGAAGCACTCACAGATCGGGTCGACAATACGGAGACCTGGTTGCAAGACCTCCAAGCATGTCTTGAATTCCTCAACGCGAAAGGAGAGGAGTACGCTGCTCTACCACTCCTGCATTTTTTGGTCAAGGTTTTAGAGCTACGGAACGACTCTGATGCATCCGAGCTAATCACCACGCTGTGTGCCCTCGGTCTGCAGTTTCTCCACCTTGGTTACACCGGCAAGGCGGGTTTATCCTTGGCCAAGGCTGAGGCGTTGATCGAACGCCATGGTCCCTCTGTAGAGGTCAGATTGCAATGGCATATGGCGTATGCCGAGTACCTTGTGGGTATCGGAAATGCCACCAAATGGTATGTGGAGCAGTGTCTTATCTTGACGGAACTATACTAACACTGGACAGTCTGACTACTATGACGAACGCACAATCTTTTGCGCTCAACGATCGACAATTCATGGATCTCGCACAGTCAACGACAACCCTCTCCGGTAGATTACGGTTCAACAAGATCGTGGCGGCTGCGTCCTATGTTCAGTCGCTTCTCGCCTCAGCTACTGGCTCATACAAGGCAGCGGCTCAGCATGCAAGGCAGTGCGTCACAGTCAATCGTCGCATTTGGGCAGCCCTCGAATCACGGGCCAATGCGAAGAAAATGACAACCGTGGACAGCAAGGAACCTATTGCGCCTCTTGTCATGTCTGTAACGCATGATGCTCTCAACGGGCCTGACTTCTGGTCCTTGGTTCCCGCGTTATACCGAGCCCTGATGCAACAGTCCCAGATCTTCGCCCATCAAGGTCTGTTACACGAAGCTATCCATGTCGCTGAACAGGCTGAAAAGGTCGCTTTGGCTACAGGATCCGCAACTCTCATCACGGACAACGCTAGTTGGCGCGCTGACTGTTGGGCCCAGAGCGGTAGACCCGACAAGGCTGAGACAATTCTCAATGCTCTGAGCCCCGATACATCCCGCAAATGCTTGTCTACTGCAGGTTACCATTCAGCTGTAGCCAGGATGCATCACTGGAACGGTCAATACGAGCAAGAAATCCAGTCTTATGACCTCATGGAGAAGCTTCTCCAGGAGCTGAGCTCACCCTCGTACATCAAGACGTTGGAGACTTCGTCACCCTCGGTCGATGCGCTTGCTGATCAGGTCTCTTCTATGACTCTAGAGACTACAGAGAGTGTCACGGCGAAGCCAGCCACCAGAGGCCGTAAACCCGCTGCCAAAGCTGCACCAAAATCGGCTGCGAGAACAAACGCCGGTGCTCGGACCAAGGCCACAGGGGCAACTGTAAAGGCCGTCACAACGACTAAGCGTCAGATAGGGAAGGCCGTAGTAGCCGAAGCTTTCAGTATCGCCGAACAGTGTTCTGCGTTGTGCGCTTTTCAGGCGAGCATGAGAGACCGAGCTGTCCTTGCTAGCCTTCTTCACGATGATCTCGATAAAGCCCTCAGCATTCTTGATGAGGCAGAGCAGCTTCAGGCCGGGCTGAGCCAAGAGGTGTCGCACATGTGGGCTATCTTCAAAGCAAAGCTTGCACAAAGTGCGAAGCAGATTGCTGAAGACTTCACAGTGAACACTCTGCCAGAATCGACCATCGCTTTTCCTGCGTTTGGTCTCAAGGAACGAAGACTCTCGGACGCAGCCACCACCAAGAAGGCAACTGTGGGATCTTTAGCAACTACTAAGACTGGTCGAGCGAAGAAGCAAGCCAAGGTGGACTTTATGGATACGCTTCGCGAAGCACGTGCACGACTCGTTGAAGCACACAGCCTGTGTGCTACCAATGGATCTAATCACCTGTTCCGCCAAACCTCCATGGCGCTAGGCCATGTCACCGTTTTGATGTCCGCCGTTTCTGGGACCGAGCTACCGGGCTCCCTCCACCCATTATACGCAGCCTACATGAGTGGTATGTGAGACACGGCACATGGCAAACATTATACTGACAACACTCAGAGCTCCCTAAAGTCAACGCCTTGCGCCTCGTGCAAGAATCAACAGAGGCAGAGAAGCAACAACTGTCGCGCGATGACTGCCTGCGATGGCCAGCCGCTGATTCATCGCATTTCGCCTTCAGCTCAGTGTCTAGCTTTCAGAAGGAGTATGTTGATATCATTCCGGAAACTTGGTCTGCTGTATCTCTGGCACTTAGTGAGGCCCGCGATGAGCTATTCATCACCCGGTTTGAGCGTGGCTTGTCTCCTTTCGTATTGCGCCTACCGTTGGCTCGCCACGCTTCGCGCGAGATGGACGAGGAAGAGTTCTCGTTTGAGGACGGCAAGAGGGATTTCGATGAGATCATTGAGCTCAGTGATTTCAGTACGCGATCTGCCAAGGACATGGCCTCGAGGGAAGCAAGACACCAGTGGTGGGCCGAACGCGAAGCTCTGGACACCCAACTTCGTGAGCTTCTTATCAACATGGAAAATATCTGGCTGGGTGGCTTCAAGGGCATCTTCTCTCAGCATGAGCGTCAGCCAGCTCTCCTAGCTAAATTCCGAAAGGCTTTGGAAGACATACTCAACGAGCACCTGCCTTCCCGTAAGAAGAAGAGCACTCAAAAGCGGCCAGTCTTGGATACACGGGTACTGGAGTTGTTCATTGGGCTGGGCGACGCTACCAATGAGGATCTTGACTTGGACGAAGCGCTCATGGATCTCATATACTTCGTTGTGGACATCCTCCAGTTCAACGGCGAGCGCAATGCCTATGACGAGCTCGATTTCGATGCCATGGTCGTGGAGACGTATGAAGCACTACGCGCCTATCACAGCGCGTCCCACAAGCTTGACGCTGGTTCTCGTCACACGATACTCATCTTAGACAACAACTTGCATGCGTTCCCCTGGGAGTCGCTGCCTTGCCTGGAGCCGCTTTCAATCTCGCGACTACCTTCCCTTGCTGCCCTTCGCGAAAGAATACTTTCCGCACGGTCCTCCACAACTCAGCAGGACGCTGCTCCGGGACATTACATAGCCACAAGTACGGGAGGTACAAGCATGCTGAATCCATCCGGAGACTTGTCCCATACTTCGAAAACCATCAAACCGCATCTAGACGAGCTTGCAGGCCCCTGGAACCATATCGCCAACCGCGCACCGTCCGAGAAGGAATTCGAAGATGCACTGCGTGAGAAGGATTTGGTATTGTATTTCGGTCACGGCAGCGGTGCACAGTACGTCAAGTCAAAATCAGTGCGACGTCTCTATCCCGGCGAGCAAGATGAAGGGGACAGAAAACCTGGCTGTGCGACCACTCTTCTCTTCGGTTGTTCGTCTGTACATCTCACTGAAAACGGCATTTTCGAGCCTTCGGGTATGCTTGCGGCATATCTTACTGCGGGCGCACCAGCAGTACTTGGCATGCTGTGGGATGTCACTGACAAGGATTGCGATCGTTTTGCCGTCAAAGCGGGCGAACTATGGGGACTATGGCCTGAGGCACAGGAAGATACGCCACCATCCAAAACGCCCGCGAAAACGCCCGCGAAGAAGGCGAAGGGCAAGGGTCGAGTTGCGCAATTGGCCGAGGAAGTAGAGATTGCAAGAAGCGTAGACAGTGCAAAGAAGGGAAAGAAGTCTGCCAAATTGGTGGATGATCGTTCGAACACGGGTCGGGTGCCGCAGAAAGGCGTTGGCTTAGACGAGGCAGTGCGAGATGCGAGAAAGGCCTGCTACCTGAAGTACCTGAACGGGGCTGCTGCAGTTGTATACGGGATTCCAGTGTATCTAGACTAGCGCAGTGAGGTCGGGCAAGACCACGGCATAAATAATGAGCGCATGAGGGGATAGTTCTAATAAGCACGAAAGAAGATCCTTCCAGTTGGGTCGCGCTCAGTAAACCTTATTGTGACGCGCGTTAACTTTGGTACGGAAGCAACTCCGATGGCCTGGTCGGCGGCATGAGGGCCACGGTCTGCTGTCAGCGGGCGCGACGACGTGATCATACGATCTTCGCATCTCGGAACTCCACAATCTCGAGCGCGTCAATACGCCCGCTACACTTTCCGATCTTGCTCACGACGAAGTCGACGCCATGGCCGAACGCCCGGCCAAATCAGGGTCATCACGAAAGCGAGCCCTCGTGAGCTGCGACCGCTGCAAAATCCGACGGGCACGGTGCATACGCGAAAATGCCGAGGTGCCATGTGCGGACTGCAAGGCAAATGGCGTGGTGTGTGAATCGAAGCTTCCACGTAAACAGAGGGTCTATGGCAGTGTGGAGACCCTCAGCTTACGCTACAGAGCCCTTGAGTCGCTAGTCAAAGGCCTCTTTCCGGATGAGAATGTTCAGGACACAGAGACCCTGTTCAAGATCGCCACGACCAGGAACATTGCTATGCCCGCGAGCGACGACTTTACTCCCGCAGACATCTTCAGCAGTAGCAGTAGCGATAGACAGACTTCTTCGCTGGAACAGCAACAACAACAGCAACACTCATTGCAGCCATCGCCAGTTGTCCCATCTGCATACTTGGGCTCGCAGACTACCACGTATCCCCTGCACTCTGCTCGGCGCACTACTGCCTTGTCCACAAGCAAAGAACGCCTTCGTCAGCCTATAACGCAACAAGTATCTTCCCAGACTGACGAGATCATTCGTACGAATCGTGGTGCCTCACATTATTTCGGGCCGTCGAGTAGTTTCCGACTTGCATCGACTATCCGCACCCTCGCGTCCCGATGGAAGGCCGTATCAGGCGCCGACTTTCCTGGCCTCCGATCATTCACCTCAAACCCCTCGAGCCGATCGGGCTCAGCTCTCAAACGCAGCAGCACGAACCCGTCTGAAGATGAATTCGCTCCACCATCCTACAGTCAGCGTCCAGGTTCTAGCCATGGCAGCCGCAAGAGATCTAGGACAGAGTGGGAGGCATCAAACGATCCGTCGCAACATCATGATCACTCATCACGTCTAGATACTATTGGTGATCTGATACCCGCAAAGCATATCACCGACGCTCTAGTAGCAGTCTACTTCGATCACATACATGTGTACTTTCCCCTTTTCAATAGTACCACGTTTCAGATCCGGCTGGAGGCTACGTACTCACGGAAGACGCAGTTGTTCGAAGAGTGCAAGGATATGGGGTGGCTAGTTTCGTTGGCCTTGGTGTTGTCGTTTGGCTGCCAGAAATCAAAAGCAAATGATGTCGACCAAATGAATGTACTTCGCCACAAGTTTCTCGCCTTCGCCAAAACCTACTTTCGGACGCTTCTGACATCGACTCGTCTGGACAATGTCCAAGCGCTCGTTCTTCTCAACATGCATCACCATAATATCGGGCAGAAGAGCAGCTCGTGGTTACTGATAGGTCTTGCTGCACGTATGGTACGTTATTTGCTTTACAGGACACCCATGCTCTGCTAACACATATCAGGCCATTACCATGGGAATGCATCGAGACAGCACGAACGTCCAATTCGAACCCATCGAATGCAATACGCGCCGACAAGTCTGGTGGTCGCTCTACATATTCGAAAAGACACTGTGCGGCATATTGGGCCGCCCAACAGTGATTGACGACCGAGAGATGTCGATGAAAGTCCCAGACGCACCAATGCTAGAGCAAACGCGCATCAACGCAGCGTTCATGAATCTCTGTTCCGACCTAGTGTCCACATCGTACCGCATTCGACAACGTGCCTATTTCGACAAAACTTCTGCCGAGGAACGGTCCCCGACCATCGCTGTCGCCATGGCCCTACTTCGGGAGTGCGACAACTTCTTCGCAAAAATACCTCAGCACATGTCAATAGAAGACATGCCAGGGCACCCGGATCTGAAAGCAATGACATTATTGCTACACGTCTACTATTACTACACGCGTTGTGTCATCTCCCGAGACTTTCTCATACAAAAGGTAGAGAGCAACGTCTGCTTCCTGGAGAACAAGGCGCCCCCAATTTCAGAAGACTGGTCTACAACCCTAATCCTGGCGGAGGACTGTGTTGAATCAGTACACAAAAGCCTCCAATGCATCACCATCGGCATCGAGCTGGGTATATTCGAGATCATCGGTTACTCCTGGCTTGACTTCTTCTTCGTATTCCACGCCGTTCTGATCGTATGCGCAGATTTTCTTGCACGACCCAAGGGCCAAACCGATTCACCGAGAGACGTCGAACGTAAAGCGACAGTGCGCACTGTGCTCGACCAGGTCCGCGGGATGCAGAAGCTCGCACCTACGTACAAGACTCTTGGCCGGATTGCGCTGCAATTCGCCACAATAACGGGTGTTACTCAGGACAACGATTCGCCAACAGTACCGGATGTGCCACAGGAGGGGCCTCTGGACTTGACGGTAGACATGGCGGCCGAGGAAAGAACGGATAATGCCGACATACTCGATATAGGGAATGATTGGTATACAGACGCGACGGCTGATTTGGGATTAGACTTCTTCGATCTGAGTCAGGCGACACATCCAGGGTCATTCCCCATCATGGATCCTCCGTCGCGTTCTGAAAACACGGGCGATCAGACAGGCGACGTGGTGGACGATTGGACAGACAGGGCACTAAAGGGGATGCACACGCTGTAGACACGAGATCACGCGTTGGGAACCAGGGAAATTGCACCAAGATACCTATATTGCCGTCATGAATTAATTCGCAAATTTGGATGACATCATCATCTAGCGTGGTGTTGAAGCTTGGTGAGCGCTTGGCGATGCACGATCGACCGATAGCCGCAGCCAGTCAAGATCGGACCATGCCGCTTTGAGATTTCATGACGCATTTGTTCGAGGTTGATGTCGTGACAGCTGCAGACAAATACAGGCCCGCAGTAGCTTGCGCTCCTGCAGCGCGTCGCATAAGTGCTGAGCCTTTTTCTTCGATGCCACATTCAAACGACAGAACGCCTATTCTGCCCACCACGAATATGGCAGGCGGTAACAAGGATGGAAAGAAGAAGGTGCTGGTTGTGGGTGCTGGAGCGGCTGGTATGTTGAACGCGTGTATTGAGATGCATCGTTGTTGATTTGAGGCAGGAATGTCGTGTGCTCATCATCTTTCCGAACACCCTGCCAAATTCGATGTGACCCTCATCGACGCAGTAGATTACTGTGGTGGCCAGGCTTTTTCCATTGGAGTCGACAAAGAGCGCCATGGCGCCGAATGGCTGAACCAAGGTGTTCAAGGTGGAAGCTACATCTTCCACCACACCATGACAATGTTCGCGAGACAAGGTCACCACGCCGATCCGGTCAACCTCCAAGTTTCCTTCGGCAAAGACGACATCTTCTGGACCAATGTCTTCCCCACAGAGCTTCTTGCACGCCATCAGAAGGAAATTCGCAGGTTCCATACCATGATCAAGATTGTCCGTTGGTTTGAGATCTTCTTCGCATTGATCCCCATCAAGATTCTCTTCAAAATGTTCTGGTTTTCCGAAGAGTTCACCAACACTGTCGCCATGCCCATGATTGCACTTTTCCTGGGAACTGGAAATGAGACGCCAAATGTACCCAGCATCATCCTAGAACGACTCTGCACTAGTCCAACGTACGGCATGTGGTATCCGGTAGACAAACGAAGCATTGCTAGCAATTTGCCGCCAATGGTCGTTTTCCCCAAGTTCAGCGAATTCTACGAGCGTTGGAGGCAGGATCTGCTAAAGAGAGGTGTCAATGTTAGGCTGTCGACGGAGATTACTCGGGTTGTGAAGCGAGACAAAACTGGTGTTACCGTTAGGTTGATCAAGCGTACGCCCATGCCTGATTCGCACAATCCCAACAGTGTTCATGTACCCTACGACGACGAGCACAACGCCGATGCGGACGCGCAAGAAAAGGAAGAGCACTATGACGAAATCATTCTTTGCGTACTTGCCGACACCGCAAAGCGTATCCTGGAACCCACCGCCTCCTTCCGCGAGAAGAAAGTCCTCGGCTCCGCGAAATTCTCCGACGACATCACCGTCACCCACTGGGACAGCGACTACATGCACAAGCACTACGAGAACTTCTACGACCCAGAAAAGTCCGCCAAAGAGCTCTCCGGCGCCGACCAAACCGCCCGCAACCAATACGCCGAGAAGAACTTCAAGCCCATGTACTACATCAAGATGTACCCGCAAGACCGATCAAAACTAGAAATGTGCTTCGACTGCACAAACTACCAAAGTCAATTCCCACCGGACGTCCCCTTCGACAAGCACATTTTCCAGACTATCTACCTCAACAAGGCGCGCGACGGCCATCTATGGAGCATTGACGAGATCAACAAGGACAAGATCATACGCAAGGATTGGTGGCACCAGCTCTGCCATTCCTGGACCCATTACGTCTTCGTAGTACCATGGATGTGGCTACTCCAAGGACGAAATCACACTCGCTTCGCAGCAGCATGGACACTCATCAACGCCCACGAAGTCGCTGTCATGAGCGGTATCGCTGCCGCTGTTGATCTCGGTGCGCAGTACCCTGCTGATCTCGAGCGCGACAAGTTTGCTTTCTTGAGCTTTAGGTTGTATTATCTGTTGGCGTATGGAAAGTGGTATAGCCGTAAGGCAACGAAGACAACGAAGGAGGGGCCTGGGAAGGACTGGGCGAGTGGGCTTTATGGGAGTGTTTATAGGGGACCTGGCGTCAGTGAGATTGATCGGCTACAGTGGAGGGAGGAGAATGATATCAAGGGTGAGCCGGTTACGTATCAGTATCCTACTAATGCTGGGACGCGGTAAGCCTCGGAACAAGCTTTGTAACGGGAGCGGTAGAGAGCGAAGAGTGGGCCGTGACTGGTGTCCTGATGGCTGGTGTAGCTTTACCAATAACACATCTAATATTCAAAAGTGAACAACTACCACAAGCCTAGCTCTTTTCCATCTCAACCTTTTGTCAGCATGTTCACGAAAATCTCCCTTTGACCTCAATGCGCGGTCGATCACCCGACATTAATTCCGTCCCAAAACGTCAAGTAAGTCCTACAGCCATGATAGTTGTTATCAAGTGTTGAACTTATCGTGCAAACAAGGCGTAGGATCGCCATCGTATAGTCTTACGTCCAGTCCCGAGTTGTAACCCGCGTTAACTCCGTCAAACTCCGCCAAGACCCTGCATATCATGACCACTTATCTCCACAGCTCCACATGGAAGATGTGTAATGATGTCGTTGCCAGAAGTATAAGTAACCCAAACATCCAAACTATCCATGTACCCAGAATCGAGATCGCCACAACTGGAATACTTGACCATCTTACCAACCATGTCATCCAAAACCCCCCTCGACATCGTCTTCGGCTGCATGACCTTCGGCCGCGAAGGCGAAGAACAAGTCCGCACCTCGGATATAAACGACTGCGCAGCTATCCTCGATACCTTCCAATCTTACGGCCACAACGAGGTCGACACGAGTCGTTTCTATGGCGTACGCACACCCATTCCCTCTCGCCCTCCTCTCCCCACCGAACTAACAAACCCAGGACGGCACATCCGAAGAATACCTTGCCAAACTTTCCTGGCAGAAGCGCGGTCTAGTGATGGATACGAAGTTCTTCCCCAACGTCCATGGGCTTTTCGGCCGTACGCCTACTCACTCTAGGAAGGAGGATATGGGCAAGAGTTTGGAGGAGAGTCTCACTGCGCTTGGAGCCGAAGGCGTGGATTTGTGGTATCTGCATGCGCCGGATCGGAGTGTGCCGCTTGAGGAGACGGCGAGGGCGGTGCATGAGCTGTTTGAGGAGGGGAGTGGGAATGGCAAGGAGGGGAGGAAGTTTAAGAGGTGGGGTGTTAGTAATTTTATGGCTTGGGAGGGTATGTCGATGCCATCTATCCCCTCGTCATCTAACCTCCCCCCCATTGTAATATATCAGATATCATGCTAACAGCCAACCACAGTCGCAGCCATCTGCGAGATTTGCAAAGCAAACGGATACCAGTTACCGAGCGTATACCAAGGCGTATACAACGCACTCCACCGCAGCATCGAACACGAACTTCTCCCTTGCCTGCGCAAATACAACATGTCGTTCTACGCGTTCAATCCGTTGGCGGGCGGGTGGTTGACCTCACGGTATAAGCGCGAGACGCAGAATGAAGCTCTGGAGGCTGGGAGCCGGTTTGATGCGAACCGTAAGTTGATAACCTACCTTCATTCTCGGAGAGAGTCAAGTGGAGTTTGAAGCTAATGTGTATGATTTCTAGGTATGCAAGGCAAAATGTACCGCGCGCGCTACTGGAACGACGAGTTCTTTACTGCGCTTGAGGGCCTGCGGTCTGAATTACCTGAAGGGCAGACGGAGAGTGAGACGGCGCTTCGGTGGATGATGCATCATAGTCAGCTCAAGAAAGAGTTTGGGGATAAGGTTATCATTGGGGCGAGTAGCAAGGAGCAGTTGGAGATGAATCTCAGAGACTTTGAGAAGGGGCCGTTGGATGAGAAGGTTGTGAAGGCGCTGGATCAGGGGTGGGCGGTAACGAGGGGAGTGACTTGGAAGTACTTTCACTAGGTTGGAGGTCGAGGTCGAGGTTGAGGAGGTGAAATGCGGTGGAATATGGGGGACAGCTCGGTGAGTCAGCGTTTCGCAGGCGGGAACGTGTGCTGTGAAAGAAAGCTCAGCCACTTCCGGAACGGCAGACTTCAAGTAGTGACCAGCATCTCCGACCCCTCGAGTAGATAAAATAATGGAAAATCCTTCCTGTGGCAGATGTTCTCGGACCGCAACCCTATAACATCCACCCACACAAAGCAAGATACCAGCACACCAAACATGCCATCACCATCCCGCCTCCAAACCTCCATCGAGGACGCCACCACCAACACCATCAACGCCACTATTGCGAAGAGACAGACACGAGAAGCCGAAGCCGAGGCCAACACCGCGACACATGCCCAAGCACAAGCTGCGCGGAACGCTCAAGCACAAGCTGCGATAGCGGCTCAAGCTCACGCTTATGCCCAAGCTCAATCCCAACTCGCAGACCAAGCAGCAGAACAGGCCGTAGCTGCAACTGCAGTCGCCATAGCAGCAGCCCAGCGGGCGCGAGAAATCCGAGAAGAATTCCAGTACACCATGCGAACCATGCGGCGGCACGCACTCGGATTGACCAGTGATGTAGAGAGAGAGATACGGGGACGAGAAGAGACCTGGAATGCGTTCCAAGCTCTAGTTCGGCGACTTGAAGACCAGCGTGGACACCGCGGTGAGACAAGGGGTGAAGAGCAAGAGCCTCGTCCTTCGCCTCCACCCGCTGCGGAAGAGTACCACCATTGCGACTTTGACCATTGCAATGGTCTTTGTACGTATCTTAAAGAATAAAGGCGCGTGTGGGGATCGAGCTTTCGAGTAAGGACATGACGGCTGGCGAGACGAAATTGATGCCTGGTCCGTCAAGAAGGAGAAAAGCTCTGATATAATAGGACAAGATACGGTAATCCTATATATATAAGCAAATGGATACTGTGTCGTTAGTATGTATTTCGGTACAACGTTTGTACAGCAATGGCGTATATAGATATGCTGAGAAAGACCGAGTTGTGAGAATGATATAGAAACTTGAGCATTAAGAGTAAGCTATAATCGAGAATGACAAGACTTAGCGAAGGAAAGGGGGTATATCAACCAACCAACCAGTCTAGGCAATGCAACAAATCAAACGCGTGCGGATGCAGCCCTCAAACGCAAGTACGGAAAGCAAACTACTTGAAGCAAATCAAACGCCTACATCGTCTCATTCTGGAATCGTGTAGACAGTACGTAAAACAGGATTTGCGCAGGTACATGGTCGTCGTGAATCTGTTAATGAAAAGGCTTGTTAGCAAGCTACTTTCTCTCTCTTGTCTCTCCATCTACAGGCTTGACGCTTGTGCTGCCTTCGAGAGGAGGGATGTAACCTAATTGCTTCTCGTTGCCCCCTTCCATTGGCGTAAAGGGCGTGAAACCGCCTTCGGGCGACGCCTGCCACTTTGCCATGTCCTTCTTCAGTTGTTCCAGCTCCTTCTGGAAGCGGTTGCCGAAGACGTCGATGTAAAAGGTTGCGCCGTTGTAGACACTCCAGATGAAGACAACGGTGAGGAACAAACCACTCGGCCAGCGGTACCAGAACCAGATGGGGCAGGGTAGCATGGTGACGACAGCATAGCTGTATTGGATGAACATGAAGGCAGGCTCTTGCATGAAGTCGGGCAGCGAGAGGACTATCTTGCCGATCCAGGTTTTGGCGTACGACTTGCGCAACCATGTGAAGCTAGTAGGTCGACCGGCGGCAATCTTATCGCGGCGACGTACTGTGATGAGCAGGTGGTAGGCGACCTGCCAGACAGCATATGGACAAGTGGCCCAAACCATCATTTGCAGTAGGTTGTAGTGGTGAGGCGAGGTTGGGTCGGAGTGGCGGATGTCGTAGATGGCGGGATATTTCGCTTGCTGGTATTCCGGGGGCAGCAGGTGAACGAGGCAGTGCAGCGTGACGCAGGGCATAATGTGGATGAAGAGACTAGGCAGATTAGTAGGTGGTTAATGTTAGAGGCATGCGCTCCTTACCTGACGACCTTGTCCATGCTGTGGAAGACTAGCGAGTTACGCCACATGACAATAGCGACGGCATTGTTTCCCATGCAGAGGCAGTATGTCGCGATGAACAGGCGCTTAGACTGCGGGAAAACCCACACACTCAGAACCAGTAGTATGTTGACGAAGTAGCACAGATCGGCCAGGAAGTAGTGGTAGCCCTTCTTGTGGTAGGTCATGAAGCGGATGGGCATGAAGTAGAGCAGCTGAGCCGTGTACCAGTGTGGGAACAGGTCAGGGTGGCAGCCCACCAGGTATCCAGAGACGAAGATGTTCATGACGGCGGCGATGAAGGAGGCCTTTTCGCGCGCAGTGACGGTGAGCGACTCGTTCCAGCGGCGGTTCAGGCGGTCGACCGAATGGCGCATGCGTCTCTTGTATTTCTCGAGTTGCTCTGCTTCCGACGGCACTCTGCGCCGCCATTCTTCCACGACGCGGTCTTTTGTGATGCCCCGGTTCTTGGCCTGGTTCTTGATCTTCTCTGTCTGGGAGGCGATGGAACTCTGAATCTTCTCGATACGCTGCGACAGGGCGAGGTTCTCGACAAAGTCGAACATGGTGAGCTTTTCGACGGGCGGGAAGAAGGCGGCATCTTCGACGTCGGAGTCATCGTGGTAGGAGCTGTTGGAGAAAGAGGCAGAGCGTGAGAGACCAGGTGTGGACAGTGGTTGGTTTGCGGAGGATACAGGCTCATCCAGCAGCGTAGAGTCGCCTGGAGTCGGACGGGCCGAAAGCTCAGAGACTCCCAGCTGCGGTTCCGACCTGGATTTGGGGATACCGCCTATATCTGCATCTTCGGGGGTCGCCATGGTGGGCAGTTCCTCTTGGACGATTTCGAGGCTAGAGGGGGTTCGGCGGTGGAGGGTTCTCTTGAAGGGACGCGGGAGTGAACCTGCAGCCGTCATGCCTGTTAGCTGCTGTATATCGCTGCGAGTGCCCCCGGTCCATGTTTAGGGCAGAGGCGGTATATCATAGAAGAGAGCGTACCGTGGGAAGGGGCGGCTTAGATCAGATCTAGTCAGACCCTATGCTCTCATGACAAGACGAGTGATGTGCGGGGGTCGAGAATCGTGCTCCTCTCAGAACTTGGGGGCTTCTGGGGGAGAGGTCGTGGGTGAATGCAAGCTGGTGATTGGCAAGCTTCACAACGTCATCGCTGGCACCCGTGGCATGCGAGGTTGAAGAGGTCACGAGAGGAGGCGAAGTGGACAGAGGGCTCAGAAAGACGGCGCAGGTTCCCCGAGACTGCAGCGAATATAGGAAAATGTAGGTAGACAAGCAGGGCCGGTGTCGAGCTCCCCTGCGTGCGGCCACGCTTTCGTCACTGCGGGCCACCATGCACGTCGAGCCACTAGCGCGCTTTGGCCGTCAACGCGACTACGCGCGACAACACGACGATTATCACGGGCAGCCCACCCCGCGACTCCCAACCCGCCCAACACGACCCTCCCACTGCGCACTCACCAGTTTAGGTGTCGCGCAACCCCACCGCCATCATGGGAAAGCTCGTGCGGCTCGAGATCTACAGTAGGCCCCCCGACGCGCAATTGCTCGCATCCACAGACTAAACATGCGCAGACTTCAAGTCGTACCGCGGACGCCACACGCTCCTCTTTGGCGACTCGTACTTCACCTCCATCATCGGTCCCAATGGCTCGGGCAAGTCGAACAGCATGGACGCCATCTCCTTCGTCCTGGGAGTCCGGTCGTCCCATCTGCGCTCCGAGAAGTTGAAGGACATGGTCTACCGCGGCAGGATCATCCAGGAAGCGAGAATCAACGCCGATGGCACCGTAACCGAAGCCGACGGCGATGCGAATGGCGACGCGAATGGCCAGTCCAATGGCGACACACAGGACAATGGCGACTCGCAAACCAGCGCACAGCGCAACGATCCCCAGAACGCCTGGGTCAAGGCCGTCTTCGAGGACGACGCTGAGCAGACGCACGAGTGGCAGCGCGCCATCACCAGCTCCGGCTCTAGCGAGTACCGAATCAACAACCGCATCGTCACCCAGAAGCAGTACGGCGAAGCGCTGGAGGAGCACAGCATCTTGGTCAAAGCGCGGAATTTCCTCGTCTTCCAAGGAGACGTGGAGAAGCTGGCGACGACCGCGCCCGAGCAGCTGACACTACAGGTCGAGCGCATCTCTGGCAGTCTCGAGCAAAAGGCCGAATACGACCGCCTGAAGGAGGAGTCCGAAAACGCCACCGAAGACAACGCGAAACATCTGCACGAGCGTCGCGGCATCAATGGAGAGCTCAAGACGTATCAGGAGCAAAAGGCCGAGGCCGACGAATACGAGAAGAAGCTTGCCGAGCGCGACGAAGCTGTTGTCACAAAGAACCTATGGAAGCTCTACCTGGACCAGCAGATTATGGAGAAGGCGCGGAACAAGATCGCCAGCCACCAGGAAGAACTCAAGGAACACAAGCGCAGCGTCGAGAAGTACCACCAGCGGCACGAGGCGGAGAGGCAAGCCGAGGCCAAGATCAGGCGAGATCTGACCAAGACTGACCGCAACACCAAGGCCAAGGAGAAAGAGATTGAGGACGCCTCCAACGAGCTCGCGCCTATCGAAGAGAAGATCCGTCTTTCCAACGAGACCCGCCGAAAATACGAGAGCAGACTCGAGGAGCTCCGGAAGAAGCGCGACGCTGAGAAGAAAGCTGTCGAGAAGTGCCAGAAGGACCTCGATCTGGTCCAAAAGGCCGAGAAGAAGTGGGAGGATGACTTCAAGGCGGCTGCCCAGAACCAGGGCCGCGAGCTTTCCGAGCAGGACCTACAGGAATACGGCCGACTACGCAGCGACGTTACGAAGCGGACCCACGGAGACCAAATGCAGATAGACAAGCTCAAGCGCGAAGTCGAGACCGACCGGGACCATGTCAAGAACCTCCAGCAGAGCGTCGACAACCACGAGAAGGCTGTCGAGAGGCTGAATGCAGACATCAGCCAGCTCGAGGAGCGCCTGAAGGCTTCCAAGACGCAAGTCAAGGATCTGAAAAGCGCAAGAGCCGCCAAACAGCAGGAGCTTGACAGACTCCGCGCCGACAGAAAGCAGATCGAAATGCAATACTACGAGAAGAACCAGTTGCTGCAGGAAGTTCTGAAGCAACTCAGCATCGTCGAAGGCAGCCGTCGAGAGTCAAGGAAGCAACAGGAGGCTCGCAGAACTATCGATCGCTTGAAGACTCGCTTTGGATCTGAGAAAGTGCACGGCCGATACAAGGATCTCATCACCCCCAAGATGCAGAAATACCGCAAGGCTATTGGACGAGTGCTCGGACACCAGATGGATACTGTCATTGTCGACACCGAAACCACCGCCAAGTCATGCATCGAATACCTGAAGGCAGAACGCATTGGTGTCATGTCTTTCAACCCACTAGACTCCATCCAGATTCAGGCGGTAGACCCCCAACTGAAGGGTATGCACGAGGGCATGCGACTTGCTATCGACTGTATCAACTATGAGCCCAAGCACGAGCGCGCTATGACTGCGGCATGTGGCAACACCATGATCTGTAACACAGAGAAGCTCGCGAAAGAGCTCAGGTACACAAGACGCATCGAAGTCAAGGCAGTCACCCTGGACGGTCGTGTAATCGGCAAAGGCGGTACACAGACGGGTGGTGAGCTTGACCGTGACGACGATTCAAGCGAGCAACAATGGGATGAGCGGTCCTACCAGGCACTTCTGGACAAGAAGAACAGATATGAAGAAGAGCTCCGCGCGCTTCCCAAG